GCCTTAAACCTGCTCTTTATAATGGAAACAAGGGTCGACTTCACAAACTAAAGTCTGATTGTAGAGAACTCTGAGAAAATGATGGCCTCAGTGGGTACTTTGTAAATTACGACCCCATTCAGAGTAAAATGGGCATCGTAGTAGGGGATGATTAGGGTGGGGCTACCTTGTGATCAACAAGTTGCTACCATATGGACGTGCATAGTATCCTTATATCTCCCCCGATATGATGTTTTGGTGTTTTTGAGACTAACTCTATGGCTGCTTCACATGAGAACTGTCGCCTCCATGCATGTTCTCGTAAAGTATTTGGGTAATTTAAAGGTTGTGAAGCACGTATATTATTTTATTAACATCATTATTGAGTTGGATATTATCTCTATAAACTGTTTAAGCTGTTGAAAACTGCTGCATCTCTTCCCCCTTACTGCTGCCGCCAGCTCTCATCTGCTTCCCAGGTGAAGTGCGAATCATCTCAATTGAGCCTAATGACATCAAATAGAGCACACCTGCGCTTTTCCACCACATGGTAACGGAGTTCACGGTCGTCGCTGCTGTAATTCAAACGCACAAGAAGCTCGGCAGACGTATAAAAGCCGAGGACTGCTTCTCAGACGTGCTATTTCGTCGTCGCAGCGAGGTCAAATATGTGCTGAGAGTTTGGGAACTTCATTTCCCAGGGGTACTTGCATGAAAAGTCACAGGTGTGCTCCATCTAGTGTCATTACAAGCTCTGAGGTTTCATTTCACAGACGAGAGCCGTGAGGATGAGACGCTCGATTTATGTGTTGATTTTTTTTGTTTTAGTCGAATACCTGCAAGCCAACATCACCGTCTGGGTTCTTTTGGATTTGAACAGTGAGCGTGGTTTCTTAAATCTACTGAGCAAAATGGGCCACGTAATGCAGATGGGTGAAATGTTTCTCTGCTTGCAAGAATGTAGTCACAGTGGTTTCTGTTGGGTCGGTACTACATCAGAATCCAGAGAGAGAACAAATTCTCCCGAACAAAATCCATTGTTTTGCCCTGTTTGAGTCACATTGGTAAAATACTGCAGCATATTAGTGATGAATCGAAAGATTTAGTTTCAAAGAGTAAGCACTGAGCAGCGTGGGGAAGGTAGAGGAAGTCTGAAAATCTCTTTAAAAGAGTTTGCAGTCAAATCATTGTTCAGCAGTATGCTTGACAAGTGAGATAACTTGCGATTAGGGGCTTTTATTTTGAAGGCCAACAACAAATAAGTTTAAGAGTAAACATACACTGCTTTGACAAAAGTATTGGGACACCCCTCCAAGTAATTGAATCCAGGTGTTCCAATCACTTCCACAGGTGTATAAATCAAGCACCTCGGCATGCAGACTGCTTCTACAAACATTTGGGAAAGAAAGAACGGGTCGCACTAGGTTACCACCTGTGCAAAAAGTCCATTCGTGAAATTTCCTTGATACCAAATATTTCATGGGCAACTGTTGGATAACAAAGTGGAAGCAACTGGGAACTTTGTGTGGCCTTCAGATGAGCTCAGAAACAGTGTGTAGAGAGCTTAATGGAATGGGTTTCCACGGCCGATCACCTGCAAAGGGTGTGCCAACTCCATGTTTAAACCATAGGGATTAAGAATGGGATGTCATTTAAAGTTCATGTGCAATGTCCCAATACTTTTGGCAACATAGCGTACATGTCAGCTTATGTGGAATTTTGGTAAATTATACGTGTTATCTTTTATTTAAATTGTTTAAGGACGTATACATTTTTAAAAAATTGTAAGATTTGGGAAACATCATTGGTGGCTGATTCTTCCTCTGATGCAAAATGTTTGTTTGCATGATTGACATTGGATGCTGCCACCTCTTACAGAAACAGTGCAAACATCCTATTCTTTATTTGGCTGGTATAATGCCACAATCAAGTTTTTGTCAATTTAAAAAAAGTGTAACATTTAATGCATTTTTCTCAGGGATTTCCTCTGAATTTTAGTTGTCTTTTTTCTACTGGGTGATGCAGATTGGCATTTGAAGAAGGGGTTAATGTTTGGTTAAAGGATGTGTTAAAGTTGACTGAGCAACAGCCCATTTGTCTTTTTTGCTGCTGTGGCTGCATAAACTTAAAACAAAATAAGCTGCCACATCATCCAAACTTTTACTTTTTGGATAGGCATGTCTTAGCAGAACACAGAAGGGGTGGACAAAAGCTGTACAAATGTATTAAACACAAACATAACCAGTGTCATGTAGTGCTTTGTAATAAAACTTTTCCCAACACTTCTTCTTTCCAAACTTCCTGCTTTTTCCGCTAACAATAAGCCCCAGCTGTTATTTATCTGCCTGTACAACGGTATAATCTACCTTTCTGTGAATCCTCCAACCGATTTGAAAGGATCAAAGTAATCCGGTGACGCACGGGCCGAGCTGGGCTCCGTTGTTGTGCTGCGAAATGGCGCGCTGATGAAAAGATGAGTCACCGGTTTGATGAAGCGGATCACGTTGTCGTCACACTCGGCGGATGTATGGAGATGGTCTCTTTATTTGGTGAAACAATCGCTCGCGTAGCCTTCACGCCGAATACAGGACGGACAATCAGAATTTCAAAAAGACTTTTGATTTCTAAAAACTAACGTCCCACCAACAAAGCAATAAGACGCATTCATAAACCTGATTTGTTGATAGATGATGTTTTCAACGTGATTTGGCTCCGTGTTGTGTTTGTGCCTCGGCTTGTGATTTCACCGCCCTGCAAGCTGCCCACTAAACAACCAGCTTATTTTGTCTACAAGTTGTCTACAAGGGGAAGAACAGTACCTTAAGGTGTAGGGGACACATGCTTGATTGTTCACTTGCTCTGAGCCATTTTGAATCAAAGCCTTGGATGCATTCAGGCGCTCGGCGTGGGCTGGAGGCCGGTTGTGTGATGGCACGCAGCTGGTTTCATGTGGTTGTCCTGTGATGTTTGAAACTCAACGCCGAACAGGACGAGCGGAGGGATTTAAGAAATATCAGAAAAGTCCGACTGCAGACGGAACCAAGTTTCAGGCCTAAAAAAAGATATAATTGAGGGAAGAGCAATTACAAGCCAAGAGCAAAAGGGATGAAGATGGAAAGGGGCGGCAGAGATGAATGGATAGATGTCCAAATAAAAGGCTATTTTGGTATCATCAGGGTTCTGTTCCACCTCCTGCGCTGAGAGAGCACAGACAGCCTCTCCAGTCAGTCAGATGATCAGGATATGTTTTGGTTTTTTTCGCTGCGGCTATTATGGAAGTTTCCACGGTTCGCTGCATGCACAAGGAAAAAAAAAAAAAAACCCAGAGGTGTTCATTAACCGAGACCCTGGGGACCCTGGACGCCTCCCGTTGAGGCTGCGATGGTGAGGTTTGAGCACCTAAATCCCACTGGGATCACGCTTATTTATAAAGAAGGGGGAGAGGTAATGCTCGTAAACAAGGTTTTGAAGTCCCGCAGAATCGGAGTCTCTGAGAACATTTGTCATTTTTAAGATTTGCTGCTGTAGGATTATGACTAAATCAAAATAAAAATCTGATCACCACCTTGTCCAAGTTTTTCTTAAACTAAAAAGCTACGAAACTGTGACTTACAAATAAGTATTGGATGCTAATAGCTAGCCACCGTACAGCTGGGGCTTGTACAACGAAGCAAGTTAAATGGGTTAGCAAGATATGTTGAGCCTAAAGCCAGACTTTTCCATCTCTTTTAATCTAGCTCAATCACTATGGCAACAGATGCTGCGGATATGTTCGTAGTTTAGCATTTCCCCCCCCAATTCTTAACGATATTTTCTTGTGCGATACAGATTCCCAGGTGAGAGAATGTAGTACACTTGGAAACCTGTTGAGCTGCATGCTAGTAACGCTACTGAATGAAGCACTCGCGGCACTGCAGCTAATACAAAACAAATCGAAATTTGAGTTTATTCGTATTTATCACAGTGGATAGTCAATCAATAATCATTTTACTTGATGGTAAATGGAGCGTAAGGCAGACAGATGGATTTGGACAGCATCAGCGCGGTGAAGAGGGAGCTGAGATGGAACAAATGTACCGATCAGTTTACATTCAATCGCTCCACTATCGACACAACATATCATATTAAAGCACACAACATTAAATTATGACACGTAACTTTTAAAGCACTTTTTCAAATTTATTTTGCAATACAAATATAATAGAAATGATTTGGCAGGCAAACAATGACTGAAAACTGAGTTCCACGGAAACAAATTCAAAACTTACGTTACATTTGAACCCGGGGAGGTTCGTCTCGCGTAGACTCGGAAAATCTGAACAACATCATCAAGATGGCTGCTCTTTTTTTTACTCCTTACTAAATCAGTCTCACATATAGTACCGTCCAGATTCTATTCGTGGACATGGTGCTAACCTGAAAAGCTTTCCTGGAGGCGTCTTGATTTTGTTCACTCAAGTGTGATATTATGCCTACTTCTGAGGTAAAGGAAACGCAGCATTGACTGAGCAAACAGCTTATTTATAGCATTAAATGAGCCATGTTTGTGATTTCTTTAGCATGTCTAGCCTCAATTAGCTCATTTTTAGGCACATGAGTTAAACTAACGTCACAGGCCTGACTAGAAACACAAAGTCTGACCTATAAAATAAAAAAAAAACTGATTGTAGGGAGAAGTGATGGCCCCTCTGTGGTTTGGTCAGCAGTGATTTTAACATTAGCTGGTCTTGTTAATCTAAAAAGCTAAAGTGGCGTCAGGGAAAAGTACAGCTGGATGCATTTCACTGATATGAGTCTTATTGCTTAAGAGATTTTCACAGAGTAATGATGTGCAAGGAAACCGCATACGTGTCTGTAAGTGAAAACAGTTTTTGATAATTATTTCAAATGCGACATAAAATAAAAGTCTATAGATATGTCTGAGAAATGCTTCCTCGTCCTTGCGCCTCTTCTCTAGTCTTTTGTTTTTCTCACAATAAATCAAAAAAACGTGTGAATGTTTCATAAATAACAAGAGAGCACAAATCAGGAACAAAAACATGAGTAGCATATAAAAATATCGTGATGACCTTTCCTCTTTCATCTGCTCAGTGAAACAGGTTAGATTCCTGAAGCTATGGCAAGGACTGTTCACACAGAAAATATTGACTCGATGCTAACAGTTAGCGACACAAGTGGTGTGTTACAGATGCAAGGGCGGTATGGACATGGCAAAGCAGTGAGTGAGCACATTATTAGGACTGTGGAGTGTTAAATACACCGTATTATGGCTGCAGGAAATAATCAGTCTGCACACTGACGTCTCTTCAGTTATGCGAAACCTCGCAGCGTCGGAAATGTAGCCGTCCGTTATCTTCTGTCAATGTGACCCCGATAAAAAAATATCCGAGAGTTCAAAAATAAATCTTTTTTTTGTAAACAGAGTATTCCTTCATTCATTTCATGTTCTTGCATAAAAACATTATTCAAAGATTTATTGTGGTTTGGAAGTCGCATTCAAGTCTGTTGAGATTTAATGTGGTCGGCGAGAAGTAGGAGGTCCGTCACTCAAAGTCCTCCCCGGCAGTGGCGGCCTCCAGAGCAGCGAGAGCCTCGGCCACCATCGAGTCCGTGACGCTCTGCACCTCCTCCTGCTGGTTCCTCACGTCCTCCTCGTCCTCACTCTTGGTCACAGAGATTCCGCTCTCCTCGGTGGAAACGTCCGGAGTCTTTGGCATTGTGAGCTCGTCCCTGGTGTCGGCCGAGGACAAGCTGGTGGTGCTGGTGTGGATGTCCACTGACAGGACGCTACTTTCGTCCCCCGTGTCGCAGGGGCACTCCGGCGTCCCTGCCACGCCCTTGCCTATCTCGGTGATGGAGCTGTCCAACCCGTCTCTTGACGTCCGGTGTCCTTGCTCGCCATAGTTCCTCTGGTCCCCGTACTCCTGTATGTTTGGGTACACGGGCACCTGACTTTTTTCCTGTATGACCCATCGCGGTCCCACAGCTTCCGGCTGGATGATGTACAGCCCGTCGTCTGCAGGCGGCGCGCTCCCCTGACGCTGCAGATCGTTGACGGTTGACGGCGCGGCGTGCAGTCGGTGGTTGACCAGGTTGTTGTCGGCCTCCAGTTTCAGCGTGCTGTCATTGGACTTGTTGTAGCCCAGGTTGTGGAAGCCCTGCTTCTGCTTGTTGTGGCCGCTGGTGGCCTCGGCTGGATAGTGGTGGGGCTGGTAGAGCGAGCTGTCTGCAGAGTCCGTCTTCCTCCCATCCACCGCCACGGACGGGTCGTAGATGTAGCTGTGAGAAAGACAAGGACAGGTCACCTATGAAGCTCAAAACCATGAATATTCTCCTGTGAGTTCATTTAAAAGCCAGTATTCAAATAAAAGGCAGGTAGAGGTCAACATAAACAAATGAAGGAAGGTCACTAATCCAGGCCAAGGAAAAACACAGCACTGATATCATCAGCAGTTCTACTAACCAGCAGGTTTTCACACTCTAATTATTCCAGTCGTTTTCCTTTTACTGATGTTGAGGAACATCAACAAAACTGCAACCACCTGCTTCTGATGTCCACCAGCATTGGACAATTTACAGTAAACACATTTAGAGTTTGGTAATACCTCAAAAATGACTGAGTGGATGAAATCTGATGCGCACCTTCACACCACCCCCCCTCAGGATGCACTAAATGTGTCAAGCTCTTTGCTTTATGTCGACATACATATAAGGCTAATGTTGTTTACATCAGCTGGTGTTTAGTGCTAATTAGCGCGCTAACATGCTAAGGAAAGATGGTGAACAATGTCAACTTTATGTATGATAAACACAAGCATCATGTTAGCGCTGTCATTCTGAGCAGGTTAGCATGTTGCTATTAGCATTAAGATCAAAACAATGCCGTGCCAAAGTACAAAATAAGAGCTGCTAGCACAACTAAAGAAAATATTTAACTTTTTTATGCAGGACTCATTTTTTTTCACTTGTTACTGATTTATCTGCAGATCATTTTCTCAATTACAACATTATTTGGTTTGGAAACATTCAGAAAAATCTGCCCAGAGCGCAACATGACACCGTCACAATAATAGTTTGATCCAACTAATGTAACTAAACATGCTGTTTCTTTACGTAAAAATTACAAAAGATGTGGGACAAATAATGAATTTAAAGAGCTCGCTTTTGGAAAACTAGAATTTTTTCAGTTTTGTGATGCTTCAAAAACTAGATGCAGCAAAAACATCACAATGCAATCCATACAATCTAATTTTACCGACTTAATTCAACATTAATCAGCTTGGTCAAACTGCGACAGAGACAAATAGAAAGAATGAAACATGAATCTCCTGCATCTGTCTAACTTCCAGAAGAATGACTCCCATTTTTACTTTGTTGCTCATTGTGGTGACAGACGGCGAGGCTATTTCTATCCGTCTGACCGATCTCCAGGAGTCAAATGTTCCAACGACCGCATACAGCGCGCTGACAGCAACACGGATATTTCACCGTGCAGCCGATGCACCTTTCTAAATGCCACTGTGATGTCTGAGGCATGCGCTTGATGTTTACACGGACTGCATCGGGCCTCAGCTGTGGTAGAAGTTTGCGCTGCTCATACAGTATGAATGTCGGATATATTATGCAGACGGTTGTAGGAGGGAAAGTGTGCGCAGGCCTGACTGCACTCCTCTCCGGTTCAGACGGTGAAATATTGACTTTTACTTCCCAGATGTTGTTGTTTGTGCTTCTCGATTTCAGAGAGGAGAGATAACGGGAAGAAAAAAAATAAAGGTGACGGGAACAAACACAGATGTTTGGAGTCATATACACCGTCCTTCTCAGAATTTTTCATTATTGCGTTTTGTTTTACTCCAGACTTAAAGCTGTGGGATTAACATTAAAGCCGTTGATTAAACTCAACAAACAGATCTGTGTGTATGACATGGACTCATTATCATTTAATTCTCGTGCTATGTCTTCTAGCATATGAAAGACAACATATGGACATGTTGACAAGGTAAATTAAAAAAAAAAAAAAAAAAAGATTTTCCCCAGAGGACGAATGTAATAAAACAAATTAGCTTCTTGTCCGCCCATGAAGTTTGCTATGACGATGGCTGCCACTTTAAGTCAGTGCATTCAGTACGGAGGTGGAGCCAAGAGGTAATTAGACTAGCTTAGCTTCATTAGCAGAAGCAGAATTGAATGGCTGGTTCAAGATAGTGGGGTTTAGAGGTGCTAAAAGGTGAACAAGTTTCCTTCTGATTCTAGCCTTTATGCTAAGCTAGGTTAGCAGTCTCAAAGTGTAATATGGAATTTTTATACTTCCATAAAGGACAGTGAGGGAAAGCCAATGGAACTCATGGATACCACAGAACCCCACTTAGGGAGCCAGTAAATCCCTAATTGTACCCTCATATAGGCGGGCATCATCCTAAAGTCAGAATTTTGTTATCATGACAACTCGGGATATCCCAAGTTTATGTCGCAGATCAGGCTTTTGGACTTTAAGGCAAACTTTTAGTGACCAGCATCAGCAACATCTAGGACTAATCATTAGTTGGCCTGCACTGCTACAGATGTCTCAGGGAGGGAGAACTCAAATTGGAAAGGGCGCATCTTACATAAAATACATTAACTAGAGGATAAAGCATTATACAAGTCTCTGTCATGGTGCCCATCGACAGCTAAACCCCCACAGCGCTAGCTGCTTGCCAACATGAAACTGATTGTAGCCTGAGGGTTTGCCTCCTCAGGAAGTTACAGTATTAAACAGTACCTGGTGGCATCACTAATGCTGTAGGCTAATACACGTTTGACATTCATGCAGAGAAACCACCCTTTTGGAGCCACCCTGCCCTCTTGACACTACATTCTAGGTATTGCCTTTCCACAGCTTTACTACAAAGTGTGTGACCACCTACATAACAAAGACGACCTGCTTATAGAATGATTCTATTTCAATAACTTCCATGCGTTAGAAATGTATTTTATCTGAGAAAATGGTATTGGATTGGGACTCTGTGTCGGCAGAGACTGAATACTAAATGAAACTCTTGATTGGAACGTCGTCGGTGACCACCCTACGTTCCATCTCACTCTTATGTCCCAAAGTGTTCAAATTTGTTGCACTTTCTGCTGCCAGAGGATGAAGGCCACCAGCTAAACACGGTCCTTTTTATGACAAGAAGAGCTTTTCTCAGTCCATCCAAGTTAGTACAATAAACAACTACGTGATCAAACTACACGTCAACAAATTCCCGTTCTGTTACTTTTAGAAACACGAGCCACAACAATGAGCCTTGATTATGCCACAGAGTCCCTTAATCAACCCTTTAAGGCGGCTGATACCGAATACAACCGGGACATTTCCACCTGCACGCAGCTTATTAAGACTCAATCAGAAAACGTAAATGGCAAATAACACCAATGTATTATTTAGCGCTGATGTCGTGCATTTCGCTGCCTCATTTGATGTTTCAGTTTTAATCTCTGCTCTCATCTGCTTCTCTGCTGTGAAACGAGTCCTTTATTGTGCAAATCAGAGGCGGCCGTACGCTCTGCCAGACATTTGTTGATGTTGTGGTGATCCTTTGTTGCATGGCAGAGCTTAATATAGACTAATTAATGCCCATTTAAGCTCCACACCTTATGTAAACCCTTCAGGCTGTAATGACTGCCTGATATTTTGAATCATCTCCTTACAAGGACACACAGACGCACAGGTATTACAGGTGTTGGCGGGGGGGCTTTATGCTGCTGAAAGAGTAACAGGCTGTCAGACGTCACCTGCTGTGAGTGCCTCATGTGTTTCACGCCCATCTTTTCTTCATTACATTTGTTTCCTCCTGCCTCCGTCTCGCACCTCTCCAGGTGCTCCCCCCCCTCCAAAACAGCCTCCTCTTCGTGTCTCCTCCAGTGTCACTGAAATGGAGCTGCAGCCCACTAATCTACTAAAACTTTGCACTTGACTTCTCCTTGATTTGAGTGTCTTCCCTCGAGCTCTTTCCATCTCCCGCCTCCTCCTTCTTCTGTCTCGAGTTGTCCTGTTGTCTTTTTTTATCTCACTCCCCCCCTTTTGGCTTTACCTCCCACTATTCAGCGAACTTAACAAGGACACAAGTCCTGAGAATTAAGAATATAACTTTGGAATGTATCGACTGATTAAGTAACAGCTTTCCGTCGCCCCTTCCAGCGAGCAGACACACAAAAATGTCGCCTGCCCACGCAGTTGTAGTCACACTCGTACACATGCTCACCCTCTGACTTAAGCACCTCTCTCTCGCCCTGCATCTTTTCCTTCTGTCTCTCTTCACAGTGGAAAGCTGAGAAAATGAATGTTTTCCATTTCTTTCGCTCCTGGGCAGCGCTGCCGCTGCGTCCCGGCTGCCAAGGTGAAATTGGAGGCTCGCTTTTAGAGAAGCGAAAGACACACAAGGTGTTTTTACTGGAGGAAAAAAAAAAAAGACCAATAATTTATAAAGCTGGGGAAAAAAAAGGCGCTTTGTGGGAAAATGAAAGCATTTTCATCAGCGATGGGAGGCCACCCGTTGTGCCTTCGAGTTATTGTTGGACTACTTGTTGCTCAGATTGTTGGCTTTTGTTTTTAACTGAATTGGACAAACCTTTACCTCAACATAATGAGGTACGAGCTGCCTTTGCGTACAACTTCTGGTGCTGCACTGATTTTAAAGCACCAACTTTAGTCAGATATTGTCAGATATTATTGTAGTTATTTTTGTCTTGTGCACTGTACCTTCCTCTATATTTATTGCTGCGCCAACCCACCAGAACAAATTCCTCATATTGTGTAAACTACACCTGGCAATAAATCTGTTTCTGATGCTGATATTGACTAACATAAAGAAAATTCCTCCATTTTCAAGCAGTATAGATTCAAGCTGATTACATTTGTTCGGTGTAGAATGGATTTTATGCCACTAAAACCATTAGCCTGTTTGTTTTCCATTCATGAAACATCGTCCTCTTAAGTTAACAAAACTGTCCACCTTGCACGAGCACAAACCAGTAAAGCTACAAGCCGAAGAGAAGGCACACTTTTGTCCGAGCTGCTCCAATCAATATTGTTCTATTAGCTCTGGATCTACGATAAAAGACGAGGTATTGTCCTTGAATAAGCAACACCTGGCGTGACAAGTTTTCTGCCGGGTTGTTGGGAATGTGCGAGTGTCAGCCTGCTGATTCTGAGGCTGCACTGTTGACCCAGTAACCTAAAGGCCCACCCTGCCAAACCCCAAACACTGCTAATCCCAGAAATGTGACACTCCAGACAATTAGGGAGGTATGTGTGCGTGTCACAAGCATTCACATGTGTGTCTTTGACATGGGAAAGAAAAAAAGACACAAAAAAAAGAAAAAGCAGCGTGGACGGGGATTACGACTCTGGTATGTGAATCACATCGTGCCCTTTCATTATTCCGCAATCAAAATCTCATTTCCCGGCTCTGTTCTGTGTCCTCGTTCTCCACGAAAAGCACAGAGGTGTCGAGCCCTGACAACGATGCCTTGTAGGCTTTTAATGAATAGACAGTCCTGCAAAGAAATACAGTAACCAAGGGTGATGGCTATTGGCATATTGACTCATGGCTTGCACTAAGAGCCCACGTGAGGCTCACAGTGCCGACGTATTATAAATGGACCTCTCACTATCTGCATGAAACGAGACAAGAAATCATTATGTGGCCAAGGAGACATTTGAATTGGCACTGTGGAGCTGCAGATAAGGAAATAAACAGTGAAGGCTCGTTATTGAGGAGGTGGACAGTCTTCAGAGGTTTAAGGTAATTGATAAGGCAAACAAACATCGTGATGCATTGGAAATTCACGCAAGCACGCTGAGACGAATCCACCACACAGTTAGACTACATCCAGACATTTATCTTGTGCGCCTACTCATTTGTCTTGTGCTCCTACCCGGCTCGCCAAGGCTGTTCTTAGCCACGGCCGAAGCTCATGCTAATGTCGGGAGTTTTTGCAGGTTTTCCTTCAGTGTTCCGCCTCCAAAACATCATCAAAAATTAACATACTTTACCAAATAAAATATTAACCTTGAAGAAAGAGTGCAGAGGAGCTATTTCACACTGCAGATAGCACATATTTAATGACTGTGGCTCTTGTTAAGGTCGTCGTCTACTGAATAAACGGATCACAATATGCGCAATGTTTCTTTTTTTTTTTGTCTCCTTAAGGATTTTGAGGATCTTTTTAAATCCGAATTGTGACCTTTATTATTAAAATTAACTTGATTTGACGTTTGATGGCCATTTGTTCTTCTTCTTCCTCCATTTTACACAATAAACAACTAACTAAGCCAAAATAAAATAAAAATAACAAAACAATGCATTGATTACTGCTGACACATTCTTTCTAATTGACTGAGGTTGCCTCCAAGTTCTAGTAATGCTTTCAAAATATGTTTTCATCTCATGTTCAAAGAGCGTTTAAGGGATATTTATCGTTTCAAATAATGGTCCTTTGAGGTTAAAAGTTAAGTTTTAACTGTAACATTATAGAAGATGTTTTGAAAATGTTGTCAAGGCCACAGATTACATGACATGATAACAAAAGGAACTTAAACCAACATTCAAAAAACGTTTTCAAGGCCTACGCTGACAGAACGAACATCAGATGACATAACATGTTCCTGTCATGAGATGTTTTGTTGATGTTGTTGCCGTAACACATGGAAAGTTGTGTTTGGTGTTACACAATGTGATGCCAAAGGAAGGACATTCTCAAAGGAACGTTTTTAGGAATGTCAACACCAAACATTTGCAGCATGTTCTCTGGTCTTTATGAAGAACATTTTGGGAACTAAACTACTGAAAACATAGCTTGAACTTTGCAGAACTTGTCCAAAGACTTCAAGAATGACAAAATTTAACAAATATTTCTGATCTATATTTTAAAACCTTGAAACGTGGAGCCTAAACTGGCAAATATACCCCTCAATAAAGGTGTTTTTTTTTTTTTATCATATCAATGAATCAACCCTTTAAGTCAACAGAAACAAGTGATTACAGGATTGTAAATTGCTTAATTGCTTGCTTGCTTCATGGTACATTTAATAATTCTGGCATTTGCACAGTCTCTATCATTGTTCACAACATCTGCTGCACATCTGTCCATTCTGAAAGGTCGATTTTTCCTTTCCAGCTAAAGGGGGAATTTTTTTCTTCGTCACTGTCGGTTGTTATTGTGCAGGAAATAAACCGACTTGACAAGAGCGGCGAGTGTCAGTGTTGTGACAACACACAAAAAGCAAGATTGCGTAGAACAGAGAAGCGGCACAACACAAACAAACAAGGCGAGGAAATGACCACACACTCTGCTCACCTTTTTATCATCCGGCAGCATCGGCACCCCATTTGGCCAGCTGTGAGCTCCGAGAGCTGCGGAGGAACATTAACAGAGCAATTAAAGTTTAATCGCAGACAAAATCTAAAGCGACAAAACATGCAGTTTTTGAACAAAGGACAGGCTACTACGGTTTGCTCTGTGCTGCTATCGATCGGACGGTTCACCACCTCTGACATGCGAACGGTTTTTAAATGAAGGCTTTTTCAGGGCTCTCTTGAAGATTTCGTCTCATCAGTCAGGTTTTTTTTTTTTTTTTGCTTTGCCCTTGGTCTCGGCGGTGTTTGGACATGAGGATGAAAACTCTGTCTGCCTGAAGCGCCGATAAAGATGTTATTGCCATCCATCACTGTTCTGTGTGTGTGTGTGTGTGTGTGAGTGTGTATCTATGTGCAGGATGGGAGTGACCTTTTCTCTCCTGGTGGTGTGTTTCTCTAGGCTTTGGCATTTCATTGCCTGGGTAAATAATTAATCACCAAGTCTTGAATGGGTTTGTCTGAAAGCGAAGGAGAAAGAGAGATCGACAGAGGTAGAGGACACTGTGTCTCTTTGTGGAACAGAAAGGAAGTTTCTCATCTTAACCTTAACTATCTCTGACCTGTGGGACTTTATTTCAGCTCGAGTTGAATCAGAAAGGAATAAGAGCTTAACAAGTGCAGGCAAAAATCATGCCGGGGGGAAACGGTTGCATTCTCAACAATTAATTACAGTCCTGACTGAGAGCACGGCGCAGTTATATTCATTACCGGCACCTCACTACAAATCCTGTGTAGCAAACTAAAAGCACAACTAGACTTCATTAAAAGGATCTCTCCGGTGCTGTTGTCAACAAACCTCGAGAAAATAATGAGACAAACAGTGTGTTAGTCCCTGAAATTAGTCATACCCGAGTCTATTTCTTCTTATTTAGACTGCACACCTTTAAAAACAGATCACAAATACTAAAAAGCGAGCTTAATATTTTCATTGTCTGTCAATCTTTCAATTATTTTCTCAATTAATTAGTTGTTTGGTTTATAAAATGACAAAAAGGCAACGTCCTTGAATGTTTTTTTTTTTTTTTTTGTCTACAACCCAAAGACATTCAATTTCAGAGAAATGAAGAAATCAACAATAATTCAAGTTTAATAAGCTGGAACCTGAGTTTTGAGGGTTTTTTTTTCCTAAATCAATCAAACCAATTGTCAAACTAGTTGCCAGGGTAGCGATGATGTATTTTTTTTTTAGTAGTTTTTGAACAATGGGGCACTCATGAGATTTATTGACTGTTCAGAACAACACAGCCTTATCTGTTAAAGCCCTCATTATTTATGGAATGTGTGAATGTGCCTCAGCTCTGGCGACCGTTTGTATCCATTACTCCTGTTTATTTTCAAGCTGCAGCAGCACTATGATGTAAGAGGTTTTAGCTGCTGTGGGACTCCATGCATCTTTGTGCAAAGTCCTGGAGGGAACCAGCTGAGAGGCCTCGGTGGGCTCCGCTCGGGGGGGATTGCTTTGTAAAATGCAGTGATTAAAAAAGGAAACGGATCTGAAGAGGGTTTGCTGAACTATAAAACAACACAAGCTGCCCTACAAACGAGGCTATCACTCCAAGTCCGACCTTCGTGGCCCGGTCACTTTTTTTTTTTTTGCACAAGAAAGGCTGTATATGTGGAAAAGCAACAAAGCATGACTTAGCTCTCCCAAGACATCTAATTATCCTCCTACAGGTCTGCTGCTGTGCGCAAAGACATAAAAAGAGTCCAGAGGCAGAGGTGGGTGTAGGCACTGAGGATGCAGAAGAAAAAAATCAGCTTATACACGGAGATGATGTCAGAGTATCATCCTCTTGTCTCTGAGTGCCCTCGACTCTCTCGTGGACTTGACTGGACGAAACAATCCCCGCAACACATTCGCCGACATGTTTACAGGGACCTCTGACACATTCACAGCGACTTATGATAAAAACCAAGAGGTCGCAACACGCCGAGTCCGATTCAGAGGAGCCCGTGCTCTAAATAGAGGACCCTGTTTCACACACTGTTGCTCCGGCGAGCACCCTCCCAGCTGAAGTGTCCCTTATCTTCCAGGAGGGGAGCCATAGAGGAGGTAATTTCCCAGCGGGCTACGGGGTGGACTATCGCATAAATGAAGTCACTATCAGGCCACTGATACAATTCTAGTCACATTCAGGCAGGTCAATAATCATCTCAATCCTCTGATCGCTCAGGCTGCTGGATACGCCGACTTCCTCCTCCACCGCCAACAGTTTCCTCCTCTTTTTTTTTTTTCCTTCTTGTTGTGCGGTGGCATTTCTTTCCTTGTGCATTATGTATATTCCATATTCCAGTGATATGCGCTTGCTGCTTCCTGCTCTGTACACCCCTTGGGGCTGTTTTAATGTGCTCGAGTCTGAAAGGGCTGCTTGAATTCGTTTGGGGAGCATCCTCAAACTCCTCTGCCAAACACAAACTGCATATCTGCTTGTTGCAATAAATGGTCCTAAACCCTTTGACATAATTGACTCTGACTGAATTGTTGTGAATTAATTATGAGTATGAATAAGTCTAGTTCCCTTCCTGGCACCGTGTCCTCACTCCAGATAAAAAAAACTAAAACATCAGCGCATGGATTATCAAGTTCTGCAACAGTGGAGTAATTAAAGAGTAACTTCAAGTTAACAAGTCTTTTTGTTTTTCTAAATAAAAAACATGATAATAGGAGAGTCGTAGACATGTTTTAATTAAAACTGTTTAAATTACAAGTCAAATTAAGAGTGACAATGGGCAGTGAGACAATGGGCAGCGTGAAGAAGCTGCACAGAGTTCTGTTCTGGAAAATTGGTGTGTTGAGCGGCTTTTGGAGGCGAAGCTGAAAATTTTGTAGCATGACGATAAAAGTTTGCTAAAAAAACACTAATTCTGATGACATTTATATTTTATAATAACTGGGACATCACACTGAGCTACAACTAATCATGTTTATTCAAACAATAAATCCAAAAAATGTTTTTCTTTCATTATTTTTGATTGTTAATCGCTTAATTTATAAAATATCGGATACGAAAATGTCCCCACTCATGACAGCTATAACATAAATGTGACTGCACAAAGGCAAGATGGTAAGGGATGGCCTTTCCAATTTTTTTTTTCCCCCCCTGAAGATGACTCATGACTTTCCCTCTCATTGGAATTAGGAGAATTTTATTTTTGGAAATGCTGGAAAACAAGCTTGCATGCAAAAATCTAGTTGTGTAACCATTAGATAATGATGATGCAAGTTAAACAAAACTGCTCTTCATCATGACACAATCTCTTATTTGAAGGGTTCTTCCCTTCCTATTTAAATTGTTAGGTAAATGTGTAACATCCATCCTCGTTATATGTAAAAAAAAGCACTTGTGTGTTATATAATCGACACACTCGTTTCGTAATGCTTTTGTTTACTGCTGTGTGTTTACTCAAGTCTGCTGTTATTCAGAGTTTCCTAACAGGCCTCATAAAAGTTTCTAAGTGCCAGAAAAGCAAATATTAAAGTTTCAAATCAATAATTGTCGCAAAATATCTCGTAAAAAAAATGCAACAAAATAAAAACAAGTTCAATTTAATGGTGAAAATAAACCAAATTCAAGCTTCAACATGTAATTTATGACTTGAGGTACATGCATTCTGCTGTGTTTTGGTTGACGTCTAACATCCAGTAAGACAAACTGTCAGACAGAGTAATGGCTGGCTGACTGGCTCGGAAAAAGCTGGTCTGCATCGGAATGGAGTTGGGTTGCAAATTTGCAAGGCAAAAACCGCCTCTGGGTTTGCCTGAGCGCTGGCAGTGTGATTGTAGTGATACCGGCCTCGGACCAACCGTTCTGCTGCTGGTCAGCGGAAAACAGCTCGCAGTCGGAGGACAAGTCCTGCAGGCATGAGATGACACGGCAACATCTTATCCCAGGCAGCTAACAACGCTCCTTCAAGCAGGCCGATGAGTGACTACACAGCTACACTGCTGCTCTGATAACTAAGTGGCATTAGCATTAAAAGACAACTCCCAAGAACTTAAAGAAAACGACAAGACAAACACGACTAACGAGGCGGGCTGATGTATGTTCTGGCTCCGGCGTGTCTACGTGCAGCTGTCATCTCGCCGCGCTGTGTTTGCAGAGTAAATATCCACAGATACACACGGAGAAGTGGAAAAACAAGAGAACGGCATGCTGGTGCAGTCAACACCCATCGGTTCTCATCACAGCTGTGTGCTTAAAGATTTAAAGTACATCAATGCGAGGGTGTTTCAAAAAGTTCACATGGAAGTGTAACCGTGTACTGTAAAGCCTTATATCGCTGTCCACAAAATCTCAAATGCTTCGAGCTGCTGTGGAGGCTCAAGATGTGACTTTCCACCACAAAGGGACAGTGAGGCTTGGACATCAATGGATCAAGTGCATTGAAGTTAAATGTTGAAAAATAATTCAACAACTTTTTTTTTGCAGTTTTCCGTTCTGCATATTTCAAAAAGGAGACCCGAGTCCGGCCTGTGCAGACTGGAATGAACCAGATTAGTGGTTCTATATTTAAGGCAAAAACAAGTGACCTGACTCAGCCATCCGACACACATGGATGCAGATAATGAGCGCAGTCAGAGGGAGAAAGAAAAGGATTGCTTGATGACTCGAAATAACCTAAGCCGCTATAATCAATATTTATACTTTAACAGCGAATGTGCAAATGAAATGACTACGTGTGATGTGAAAGGAGTCACTTGTAATAATGAATGCGCAGAGAATTATGACCAATCCTCTTCCCCTCAGCTCTAAGAGGCTTATGTAACGTCTCAGAGCTAACTTTGACTAACTTTGCGGGTTCTGTTTCGCTCTTGGTGTTCTTATCTGCAGTTTTTCATGGAAAGCGCCGATGAATCGGCCTTCTGTTTAACAACAAAGTGTTTGCGGGCATAGCAATACAGCGAAAGAGTTGAATATTTTCCTGGCAGAGACCAAAAACGAGCTAAAAGGTGAAGGAATGTTGCAGTGTTTTCCACAACACATGACAAATGGATG